CAAGGGAAGCTCCAGATCACCCCCGACCCCCCCCCCCCGGTCCAAAACAGTCCAGTGGCACCTTTAAGACCCAAGTTTTATTCAGGTGCAAGCTCTCCCTCCTCTGTGAGGACAGATCTGCACGTTTCCCCCCCCCCCAATAGCTAGCAATCCAAAACAGTCCAGTGGGGCCTGAGCGGTGGGTGTTGCCTTCTGACACACTTCCGGTGGTGTCAGGGGGTGTGGCATATGCAAATAAGTTATGCTAATGAGTTATGCTAATGAGCTCCTGCACCTCTTTTTCTAGGAAATTACCCCTGATTATACCACACTTAAGTCTCTCCCATAACCCCACCTTCCTCAGGCTCCACCCTCCCTCTCTCCAGGAATTTCCCAACCCAGAACTGGCAATTCTAGTTCTCCTAGAGGAAATAGCTGCTTTGGAGAGTGGCCTCAATGGCATTGTACCCTGCTGAGGTCCCTCCCCAAACCCCACCCTACTGTTATACGCACAGTTTATGAAACACTTCGTACTCTGCCACTGACTAACAGGTTTAACTTGATAGGTGCACTTAGCACTTCCATGGTGCATATGTTAAGTGCCATTTATGATTCTAACATCCTGAATGCTTTCAGGTATTAACTTTGGTTCATTTGTGACTGTTGTTTGGATGCATGCTGGGAAGGGAAAGCGCGTCACTACCAAGGCTCCAGCCCCCACCCCCAAGTCTCCAAATATTTCACCACTGAGGGCTGGCAACCCACTTCCTCAACCCAAGCTAAACAACCAGACGTTATGAAAGGAAACTGAGATCATGCAACTATTTGGAAATGGGGGGGGCCTCTCTTTTCACCCCTGCTTAGGCTCCATCCCCAAAATCTCCAGGCATTTTCAGACCTGGAGCTGACAACCGTATTAATCACAAATGTCTCCCCGTGTTATTGGAGACACACAAGGCAAATACTCCCAACGTTCAGTTATTTCCCAGAGGCATTGCATCGTAACAAAATATAAATAGGCCTCGTGGGGGAAAGTTGGCATCAAAAAATGTTTCCTGATCTGAGCTGGTTGAAGACTACACCAAAAACTCTCTCTTGCGTACGTCACCCTTACATTTTATTGTATTTTATTCCCCTTTTCATCCTTTATCAGGTCCGTTTCCAAACATCTGTTCACTTGAAACAAACGGTATGTAACCAAAATCTTACAACTGCAAACAAGATCTACGGTAGGCTCTCCAAAAAAATTCAAAAACTCATTTAGCTGAGGATAAGCTTTCTGGACAATTATGCAGTTCAGAGTACTAATTCCAGGACTGGACAGATGGCGTTTTGTTTGGAAGTCATTATGATTCAACCATTTCTCTCCCCCCCACAACCCGTTCTAATTAGGCTTGCAAGCGTAATGATTTCTACTATGAGGCAAATCTTTTTTGCGCCTGAATCTTCAGGCAAATGCTTCCTGCGGTTCTTCCCTTACACATTTCCTCAGCATTCCCGGTGGGTTGCAGCTGTTCCTATTTTAACACTTGGGAAACCAAAGCTGTGAGAGAGCACATGTGATGCTGCATTATCCTGTGTGGTGGAACAGTCCTGCTCTGGCCTGCAGGGACTGTTCCACTCTGCCCTCCAAGGTTTTCCCAACACCTGGAGAGTCGTTTCTCTCACTCTCTCCGATAATCCACCACCACCACCTGACCTTTGTAGGAATTGCCCACTGGGAGGGTCAGGACTCCCAGCTTCCCTTCCACATTCTGAGGCCTTGCTTCTGTGTCTCCCGCTGCCCGCTGCCTGGTCACCACAGGGGCAATTTACTGCCTTGTGCGCCCTTGGAGGAATAGCCGTTTGCCAACTGACTGCCTTTTGCTAACTGACTGCATGTCCAAGACAGTGGATGTTTATGTGGTACAGAGAGCCACTACCAGGATCAAAAGTTATAAAGTATTTATTAAAAAGAATATGTTCACAAGCATACCCTTAGCACAGCACCAGAGTGAGCAAGGGATTCAAAAGAGAAGGGTAAAACACAATTCCTCTGTCCCTCCCTCTGCACATGCCCTAGCTGTTGTTAAATATAGGACTGACTCCTTAGCTTATAATGTTATAGATCTCTACAGAGTCACCTTTACCTTGCAGCTTCCTTCTGCTGCCCAGGCCAGCACATGGCAACGGCTGCCTTCTCCAGACTTCAGTTAACAGTTCTGTCAGCTCTGATGGACTCAGCCCCGAAGAGGACCTCCTCCTTGCACCCAGGAGTTTTATCACCTCTCTTTTCCATACCCACTGACCAGGTCAGGCTGGGTCAAAGAATTTTTTCCTGAAGTCTCCAGAAGCTTCTTCCTGAAGTCCTTCTAGTACTTAATAACTCCAGATCTCTGCATTGAGCAGGGGGTTGGACTAGATGGACTGTATGGCCCCTTCCAACTCTGTGATTCTATGCTTCTGTGTTCCCTGCTGAGGGGAAGGGGGACTGGACCATCATATTGTCTCTAGCTAGGCCTTTTAGCATTTCTTAAAAGGTAGCTAAGGTGAGGCTGGAAGGCCATTGAATTGACTTCCCCCTTCCTGCCCAGAGAGAAAAACTTTAAAAACCTCCTGGTAAAGGTTTGACTCAGGTCAGACCTCCACCCCCAAAATGCATTTTCTTCACATCCTGAGTCAAGTCATCGGTCCTTCTAGCCCAGGATTTATAATCTAATTGGGAGCCATTCTTACAATGGGACCTTTCCAAGCTGTGCTATATGGGATCCTTCCCAATGGATATGCCTTGAGTCAGAAACAATAAAAATTAGAAACATAGAGCTGGAAGGGTCCCCAAGGGTCATCTAGTCCAACCCCCTGCACAATGCAGGAAATTCACAGCAATCCCCCCCACTCCCCCAGTGACCCCTGCTCTACGCCCAGAGGAAAGCGCACACTCACACACAAACACACACACACGGCACGCCAGCCTCCAACTGGGATCTGGGGATCCTCCAGAATTACAGCTCATCTCCAGACTCCAGAGCTCTTTGCTTGGAGGAAATGGATGCTTTGGAAGGTGGACTCTATGGCATTGTACCCCACTGAGGTCCCCGTCCTCCCCAGGCTCCATCTCCAAATCTCCAGGAGTTTCCCAAACTGCATCTGGCAACTCTATGCCCTGAACCCCCACCAGAGGCCAGGGGGGACCTGACAACTCAAACACACATGCATGCACACGCACACACACACCCTCTGTACATGATGCTCCAGCAGTTGGCCAAAGTTGTGGGTCACCCCTATGGGGGAAAAAGCTTCTAGATCATGAAGGCAGTCTGGTACAGATGGTGAGCAGAGGCATTCGGCAGGCTAAGAGCATGCTGACGTCCCCCTGGCCATCGATCATGGCGAGCAGCCCGGCTCAGCAAACCTTTTCCACTGGCCTTGAGGCCGGAAGTGGCTTTCAGTTGTTTCTGACACGGAGAACATTCTGTTCTGGCGAGACGGATCTTTCTCCCTCTCCCCTGCCACTGGAGCGGATCAATGGCTTTATTTCATGCTACTTCGCCCGCTCCCTTCATCAACACCAACGGGCAGGCTTTTAAGGGGAGTTCAGATTGCTCCCATTAATTCCGGTACCTGCTTGGTTCTTAAACAACAGTCACTTTCCAGCTGCTTTTGGATAATTGGGCTGGCTCCTTGCCAAACGGCTGGATTCCTGTCCAGAAGAAATCCACAAGAGACCGGCCTTTCGACTACAAGGCCCCTGAAGCCAAAGTACACGGACACAGCGGAGAAGGCCGTGAATTCATAGCTCTTTAAAGCAAGGCAGAATGTTGCCAGTCGGCATTTTGGCAGGAAGGGGGGAGCAGGGGAGGGTGCAACCAGAGCCACCCCCATTTCCAAATAATTGCATGATCTCAGCTTCCTTTAATAAGGTCTGCTTAAAAACATAAGAGCATAAGAGAAGCCATGTTGGATCTGGTCAATGGCCCATCCGGTCCAACACTCTGTGTCACACAGGAGCCAAAAAGACCAGGTGCCATCAGGAGGTCCACCAGCAGGGCCAGAACTCCTGAAGCCCTCCCACTGTTGCCCCCAAAGCACCAAGAACGCAGAGCATCACTGCCCCAGACATAGTGTTGCATCTATATGTTGTGGCTAATGGCCACTGATGGACCTCTGCTGTTTAATTTGGGTTGAGGAATCGTCCATGGGAGTGCCTATTTGTATTTTTTTGTCCCCTAGCTGGATCAGGGTCTAGGGTTGCCAACTCTGGGTTGGGAAATACCTGGAGATTGGGGGGTGGAACCTGGTAGGGTTGCCAAACTCCAGGTGGTGGCTGGAGAGCTCCTGGGATTACAAATGATCTCCAGGTGACAGAGATTGGTTCACCTGGAGAAAATGGCTGCTTTGGATGGTGGACCCTATGGCATTCTACCCCACTGAAGTCCCTCCCCTCCCCAAACCCCTCTGTCCTCAGGCTCCACCCCCACAGAATCTAGAGGTATTTCCCAACCCAGAGCTGGCAGTGGCAACCCAAGAGCCTGGAGAGGGCAGGGTTTGAGGAGGGGAGGGGCCTCAGCATGGTAGAATGTCATAGAGTCTTCCCTTCAAAGCAGCCATTTTGTCCAGGGGAACTGAGCTCTGCCGTCTGGAGATCAGCTGTAAAAGTGGAAGATCTCCAGGCTCCATCTGGAGATTGGCAACCCTAACCAGGGTGCAAATGTACATTCTTTTTTAAAAAGCTTTAAAAAAAGAAACCCCACGTTCAATTTGTAACCCACCCTCTCCCAAGAGAAAATCATCACGCAGCGAAACGAGTGAAAAGAGATGGTACCGCATTATTATTAGTATTAGTATTGTTGTTGTTGTTGGGAAATGGTGTGTATGGACTATTGCTTGAAGATTGTCTTGTAAATCCATTTCTGAAAGTTGGCTACAGCTGTGTAGACCCCCGGATACCTGGGACTGGCACAGCTGTGTCCCCAGGAAACGATGCCAAATACGCGTCCATCACAGACCAGTGGCCCACCAGAGTCTCCCTGGGAAGAGGGGTGGAGAAGAAAGGAAAAGAGAAAAGCAAAGATCGATTCTTGGGTTACATCAGTACATTTCTATTTCGTTTTCTCTTCGCCTAGAATTTTGGCTAGTGCAATTATTAATTAATCTTGCTGTCAATTCGCAGCTGACTTATGGAGACTTTGTAGGGTTTTCAAGGCAAGAGACATTCAGAGGTGGTTTGCCATTGCCTGGCTGCATGTCAAGACCCTGGTATTCCTTGGAGGTCTCCCATCTAAGTACTAACCAGGGTCCACCCTGCTTAGCTTTTGAGATCTGCCTAGCATGGGCTATCCAGATTAGGGCAACCAGTGTCAGTAGACTCTTCTAAAACCTCTCTCCCTTTCCCATTTTAAAATTAAAAGATGTGTTAAAGCAAGCAGCCACTATTTACTTTTAGACAGTCCCTGCGTTCTGGCTTCCATCTGGCAAACCACTGTCTCTGTTTTTGCGAATTAAATCTTTTTCTTGTGCGATCGGCAAGTTTTACCGCCCTTCAGAGTTTAGCTCCCTACTTCCATGGGTTTGCCACCTGTCTGGAGGGGGGGACACCCATTGTCCCTATATACAGTCTCACCAAAGAGCATTTGCTATTCTTTCAAATTAAGCAAACAGTTAAAATAAGCAACAACAGGTTCTTAGCGAGGTTTTGCTGTCGCCAAACCCCTAAGATTACAGGCATCTTTCCTGCTGTTCCCCTGACATTGAGAGGATCTACCTGGTTTCTTGCCCCCGTAGGTCATAGGGTTGCCACCTCCAGGTTAGAAAAGACCTACAAATTTTTTTTGGGGGGGAGGGTGCAGCCTAAGGGAGAGGACCTCCTGATGGCACCTGGTATTTTTGGCCACTGTGTGACAGAGTGTTGGACTGGATGGGCCATTGGCCTGATCCAACATGGGTTTCTCTTATGTTCTTATGAGTTTGGGGAAGGGTGGGACTTCATAGAGTCTGCCTTCCAAAGCAGCCATTTTCTTCAGGTGAACTGATCTCTGTCACTTGGCGATCCATTGTAATCCTAGAAGCTCCCCAGCCACCACCTGGAGGTTGTCAACCCCATCCTGGAGAAACCTGGGCCAAATCAAGTTTCATGGCCTACACTTTGAAAATTGTCTTTTATTACAAACAACTGAATGCGAACAAACATAACATGTACCCCTTACGGTTCCATTCTGTCCTGGGGAGGGCGGCTCCCCATACTTTTATGTGTTCCCTCCTTTAAAAGCTGGTTTTGCACACGTTTCAAGGTGTGTTATTTCTGCCTTTATATTAAAACACTCTCAGGCTTTGAACAAACTTTTAACTTTATGGGTAACAACAGGGGTATTTTGGGGCAGGAACGCACAGGAACGGAGTTCCGACTGGCTTCCAAGTTGGCCACACCCAGCCGGAACTCATTAGCATAATAGGCCACACCCAACAGC